TCTTCCTGCAACGGGCCTCTAGTGATGCGTGTGTGAGTGTGTGTGTGGCGTGTGTGCGTGTATAAAATTGCAAAAAAAGCAATGAATTCTGTTGAATTAGTATGGTTTATTCTCCCCTCCCAACTTGTTTGGTGTTTTGCTTTGGATTTCTCGCTTGAATATTATAAAACAAACCTCATATTTTTCATGTACTTTTTTTATACGACAACAATACCATTATCTCATTTAATATAAAACCAAAACCTAATAATTCCTTTGTAGTTAGTTTCTAGTCTATGTTCACATTTTCCCACTTGTCTCAAAAATATCTTTTTATAGCTGGTTTGCTCAAATCAGATCCAGTCTGGTCTGTACATTGCCTTTGATGATAAGTCTCAAGTCCCCTGTCCTATTTTGCATACCACTTATTTGTTGGGGAAACTGGATCAATTTTCCTATAGGATACCCCAAATTTTGGATTGACCTGATTGATTTCTTGAATGGTCATCTTTTTCTTTACTCCAGTAAACTGGTAGTTTTTGATCAAGAGGCTTGAGTAGATCAGGCTCATTTCCCCCAGGTAACATGCTTCATAAGTAGTACTAGACTCTCACCACTCAGTGTTAAGTGTTGAAAGCGGACAACCAATGGTTCTGGGCTGCCTGTCACTACTTGAACCAATTTAGCAGGGACAGCATTGAATCATATATGAGCATTTATTCCAGTAATGCTGGCAGTATGGGAGAGCAGCAGGTCACGCACAAAAATCTGCTCTACCCCTCCCCATAAACCAAGAATTATGGGTAGAAGGACAAAGATTACATGGGAAAGTAGGAATTACAGGCATGGGGAAATAGGCAAGGTATAAAGGTTACAGGTTATAGGCAGGCTGGGGGTGTTGCAAAGGGTGGGTGCTCCGGGACCAGATTGTTTTAGCAATAAGGTTGTTAATCTTTCCGTGATGATAGTCATTCTCGGAAAAGGAGAATGGACTGCATTCCATATTAACTCCCATGTCCTGGGGCATACAACTCTCAACCAGGTTAGAACGTGCTTTCTCTAGTCAGAACAATCAGGGTTAACAGAGCATGATTAATATTTCTTATAATTCTAGGTATTCCCCAGTATTTTATTTCTGCCCCTAACATTGCAGGACTGCAGCACTGGATTCGTTTTGTTGGGAGCTTGTTAGAAATGTAGTCTCAAGCCCTACCATGGCCCTGAATCAGAACCTGCTTTCAACAAGCTCCTTGGGGTATTTATAGGTGCATTCAAGGCTCTGCCATGTATTTCTGACTGCATTGCATCAGGAGGCATTTGTTACCTGGTTGGCACACTTTGGAGAAGTTGTCAGCTGGCCCCATCTGTTACAGAGGAAGGATAGAGGCAGGATAAATGCCTGATTTTGATCCTTTTATTTATCTGTTTTCAGAGTAATGACTTAGTGGTGCCTAAGCAACTTCCAAAAGTGAAGTACAACACCTAGAGTGAACCCTAATGTAAACTGTGGACTGAGAAACGATGTATCAATGTAGGTTCATCAAGTGCAACAAATGTTCTACTCTGGTGGGAGCAGTTGGTAGTGGGGTTGGCTGTGCATGTATGGGGGTAGAGGGCATAGGAAATTCTGTACTTTCCTCTCAATTTTGCTATAAAATATAGTTTATTTTTTAAAAAGTGAACCATAACATTTAAAAAATTTATTTTATTTGTTTGTTTTTAAAATATATTTTTATTGATTTTAGAGAGGAAGGAAGCGGGAGAGAGAGAAACATCAATGATGAGAATCATTGATCAGCTGCCTCCTGCACACCCCCTACTGGGGATCAAAACAGCAACCCAGGTATGTGCCCTTGGATTGCTGGAATCGAACATGGGATCCTTTAGTCTGCAGGCTGACACTCTATCCACTGAGACAAACCAGCTAGGGTTTGAAAATTTATTTTTAAAGTATTACCATGGATTTTTTTTTTTAAATCCTCACCTGAGGATATTTTTTTCATCCGTTTTTAGAGAGAGTGGAAGGGAGGGAGGGACACATTGATTGGTTGCTTCCCGCTTGCGTCCCAACCAGCGTCAGGGGAACCTGCAACGCAGGTACGTGCCCTTGATCAGGAATTGACCCCTCGACCCTTAGGTCCACAAGCTGATTCTCTAACTACTGAGAACCATGGATTTTTATATGGTCTATATGTTTGAAATCTTTTGTGCTTATTATCATTTTGAAGTGGAAATCCTGCTGTCTTTAGTAGTGCAGATCTAGGTATATGTAACTTTGTGATATTTCTCTTTATGTGGGCTGTCCTCTAGTTACATTTCCACCAACAATGCATGCACCAGAGTGCCTCTTTTCCCACAGCCTAACTCAAAGAGTGTTGTCACACTTTTAGATTGTGGCCAATCAGATAGGTAAGAAATTATA